TAACGGGGCCACCGCCTCCCGCAGGTGCCGACTCGCCGGTTTCGCGGGGGCTGACTAACTGTCCCGCCGTGTAGGCCCCCTTCCCCGAAACCGCCTCAGGCCCAGGCAGGAAAGGCGGAGGGGAGTGGGTAGGGACGGCGGAGCGGGGTGGGCCTGGGCCCCCGATGCCGGGTCCCGCGGCGCAGGGCTGCGATCCCGCGGCCCTCGGCGGACAGCGGCCCGGCCCCACCAGCGCCCGCCAAGCCGCGCGGGGCGGCGGCCAGCGCGCCCCCCGCCGGCGCCCGGGCGCACCGCACCCTGCGCCAGATGCGCGGCCCCGGGGGGCGTGGGTGCGGGTCCTGGGGCTCCCGGAGTGGCCGCTGGGGGTGAGCAAGCTGCGGTCGCAGGGCGCCCGCAGGAAGAGCGCCCCAGCTGAACCGGTCCGGCGGGCGCCGCAGGGCTTGGCTTCGCTTCCCTGACGCCTGCCTGGGCCCCCCGCCCGCTCGGCTTGGGGGCGAGGAGCCGGCGCCGCGGTTGCGGCCCGCCAGGAGCTGCTGACCTTTGTTTGCCCGAGGCCGCGCTGGCGGCCCGCAGGGGTCGTGACGGCGACGGTGGGGCAGGGCCCTAAGTCGAAAACAACGGGATCCATACTCGGGAAGTGCGGGCTGTCAGGGCCTGGCCGGTCACGGGGCTCGAGGCATGCCTAGCGATGGGGAAAACAGGCCCGGGAGGAGGGCGGCCTTGCCAACCGAGACCTGGGGCCAAGCAGGGCCGGAACTCAGCACTCTCGACTTCAGTGGGCTGGATTCTGGCTGTTTGGGGGCATTCGGGGGTCTGGGCCGCCGCCTCTCCTAGGCCAGAGGCCCAGGTTACAGGTGCCCCACAGACCACCGCTTTTCCGGGGCACAGAACTGCCGGCGCCCAAACCCCACCACCCACCTCTAGCTCTAATTAGCCGCTTTGAAGATGAAACAGGCCTGAGCCCCCATGCAAGCCACTGCCAACTGGCCTCTCCCTACCCCATCCTGCTCCAGATGGGAGGTGGTGGAGAGTTGAGGGGTGGAGAGTGCCAAAAAGGAGGCTGTCTGGGTGCCCTTGGGGATGGAGAGATAGGGACCCACCCGGAGGGACAGGTCCAGCCAGAAGGCCCGGTCCCGGCTCCTCTAGGCCCTGGCTCCACAGTTGACTCACAGGCGGCAGCCCCAAACCACTTCCCTCTAGGTGCCTCAGTTTCCCCATCTATAAAATGTGAGTGATAACTCCCACCCAAGAGGCTGTGGGGTGAGGCAGCCTGGCTAATTAAACCCAAGATGAAAGAGGGCAGGATGAGAGCAGCCCTGGGGAGGGGAGGCAGCCTGCGGTAGGAGCCAGTCTGGTTTCCCTGTCTGAGCCCAGAGGGTGCTGGTAACTGCACATCCCCGGCCCTCACCACCCTCACGGTGAGGCAGGAATGATTATTAAACCCCTCGCAGAGTTGAGGAGACGGGCTTCCAAGGGTCAGGAGGCCTGACACTGGCTCTGGCCCCGGCTCAGCCTCTGACAGTGTGGCCTCTGCACACCTCCTGCCTGAGTGTTGGCTCCTTGAGGCTGAGGGTCTGGAGGGAGGGAACCCACTTGTGGTCTCCAATGCTGCAATGGACGAATCTGCATGGACTTACTGAGGCTCACAGCAACCCAAGTACCGAGGGTGGGTACCAGATGAGGAAAGGGAAGCCCACAGAGGTGCGGTCACTCAGTCACAGAGCCCCTCAGAGGTGGAGCCTCGACTTTCACAAACAGCCCCTTGTTGCATCCGACCTGGTCCTCCCCCTACACCAGGTACCCTTGGCCCTCTTGGGTGTCCAGGTCCCTGGGTGGGCCCTGTTCTCACCTGTCTGTTCCCCTATGGGCGGGTGGTGCTGGCTCTGTCCCTGGCAAAGCCAAGCATGGAGCTGAGCTCAGACTGTCATCAGACTCACCCTCGACAGCAACATGCCAGCCGAGGGCCCAGGTGTGGGCCACTGCCGGATGCTGAGCTGGGAATTCCCCACTCCATGCCCTCTCTCATTTCTCCTCCTCCTGAGTTTCTGTCCTCCCCATGCAGCCCAGTTACGGGCAGACACTAGACACAAGGCTTGGAAAAGGGAAAGTCAGTTTCCCAAGGGTTCTGAGCCTCAGTTTTCTCATCTGTAAAATCGGGCTACAACAAACACACCCTCGCGGGCCTGGCTGCTGGAGATACAGGAAGGCTTAGGAAAGAACGAGTCGATAGGCAAAGTCATGGAGATAGAGCAGATAGTGGGTGCCGGGCCACGGAGAGGGGAGACACAGTGACAGCTAATGAGTACAGGGTTTTCTTTGGGGCGATGAAAATGTTCTGAGATTTAGTGGTGATGGTTGTACAGCTCTGTGAGGTTACTAAAAACCAGTGAATTGTACATTTTATAAAAGGGTGAATTTGATGGTATATGAATTCTATCTAAATAAAGCTGTTTAAAATGGCATTTAAAAAGGGGTCCCACCCCAGACCAGCAGAGGCACAAAAAGTAAAAATAAAAAAAATACAAAGGGGTCCCTCAAGTTCAGAACTTGCAGTGGTGGGGAGGAGAACCAACAATAAACAAGGAAGACAAAACAAAATGCCACAGAGTGAAAGTTGTGGCAAAGAAAATAGGATAGTGGGACAGAGGTGGCGGGGGACAAGGATTTAGCTGGGGTGGATGGAGAGGCCCCTCAGAAGAGGGGACATTTGGTTGAAACCTGAATGAAGAAAGGTGGCCAGTAATCCAGTAGGGAAATGTGTTCCAGGCAGAAGGAGCATCAGGAGGAGGGCCAGATCTGGGAACAGGCCAAGGCTTGTTCAGGGGACGCAGGAGACAGCAGTGTGGCTGGCATACAGGGACCCAGCTGGAAGGGAATTGGGAGGTCAGGGGCGGCCCCAGCACGCCAGGCCTCAGCCTCTTATTCCAGCTGCAGTGAAGCCACTGGAGGGTATGAGCCGAGGAGAGGCCTGGCCTGGGTTTTAACAGCACCTCGTGTAGCCCACCTGCCTCTCCAACCTCAGCTCCCCTGCCCTTTCTTCCCCTCACCGCGCAGCCAAGTTGCATTTGGGTTCGTGGCACACACACTAGACTCACTCCTGCTTTGCGGCCTTGGCATCAGCTGTTCCTTCTGAAGCTGGTCATTGTCTTCTCTGCTCTGCACAGTTGGCTCCTCCTTCTCATTCAGGCCTCAGCACCCCTACCTGCCACCATCACATTCTCTTGCCAAATGTTTTGTTTGCGTCTTATGCTTATGCTTACTTGTTTCCTTATTTGTTTGCCTTGCTTTGTAGAATCTCAGTGCCTGGCACAGCAGGTTCTCAGAAATTAAGGGATGAATTTAGGGATGAATGAATGCCATGTAGCTGGCACTGTGCTGCTAGATGAACAGAGATATGCTGCTAGATGTGAACAGAGCAGAGGGCGCCAGCCTTCATGGCACTCACAGTTCAACTACGTGTTTCCCCGCGGTCACATACATCGTCTGTCTCCTGAGCTGCCCAAGAAGACAGCCACACCACACACTGCGGCCTGTGGGTCAAACCTAACCCACAAAGATGTTTTGTTGGACCCATTCCATGTTTTAAATTTTTTTGATTAGCTGGGTGTGGTAGTAAACACCTGTAGTCCCAGCTACTCAGGAGGCTGAGGCAGGAGGATCACTTGAGCCCAGTAATTCAAGATTGTACCACTGTGCTCCAGCCCAGGTGACCTAGTGAGACCCCAACTCTTAAAATTATTTTAAAAATAAAAAAATTGGCCGGGCGCGGTGGCTCAAGCCTGTAATCCCAGCACTTTGGGAGGCCGAGACGGGCGGATCATGAGGTCTAGAGATCGAGACCATCTTGGCTAACACAGTGAAACCCCGTCTCTACTAAAAAAATACAAAAATCTAGCCGGGTGAGGTGGCGGGCGCCTGTAGTCCCAGCTACTCAGGAGGCTGAGGCAGGAGAATGGCGCAAACCCGGGAGGCGGAGCTTGCAGTGAGCTGAGATTCGGCCACTGCACTCCTGCCCGGGCGACAGTGCGAGACTCCGTCTCAAAAAAAAAAAAAAAAAAAAAATTGAGCTAACATTTAAAAATTAAGTCAGTTTCACTTACAAATTTGGACTTCTGGTTTCTCTTGGAAAATGGAAAGCTGTGGCCATGTGAGGTTTGTGCACCTGAATGACAGGATTGTGGCTGCCTTTCAGATAGGCACATTCTCTCCAGTTCCCACCCACTCTGTTCTCCCCCTGACCACCAGGGTCAGTTGTCTTTTGTCACTGAATTTGTAGTATTTTCTTCCTGTATCTGTGTCTCTACCAAAAGTTGGACTGTGAAAGGTGAATGGGTCACGGGAATCAAGAAAAGAGGATATTCATTCATTCAACAAACATTTATTGATAACCCACTTTGTGCCAGGCACAGCTGGGGATATAGCAGTAGACAACACTGCCTCCCACCTCGGGCCCCATTCCACACCCTGTAACCACACCTTGTGCAGGGAGGGGTTCCCTTGGCCGGCTTCACTTTATATACCCAGTGTCCTGTCCTGGACACTGGAGTTGCTCCCCTGATGGGGAAGACTGCACCTTGTGTCTAGGGACATCTGTGAAGACTTCACCATAGTATCCACCGAGCACCCACTGTGTACCGGCCCATCAGGGGGTGGCACAACAAAACTGCTCAATCAATACTTGTTGAACGAATGAACTAATTGCACCTCTCTCCTGGACAGAGAGTGGTTTAAGGTTGTTTCTCCTGGATTCACCTCAAAAGACAGGCACATGCCAGGTGTTCACTTAATGTCAGTTGAACTCAAAGGTCTGGCTGGGATCAGAGTGGAGGTCACAGCCCTTGGAAAGGCAGGGGAAGAGGCAAACGCGAACGCCCCATCCCTGCCCTTAAGTAGGTCAGCGAGTGAGGGAAGCCCAGCCAACCCCAAAGTGTCACGATGGGATGGGAGCGTGGGCTTCATGGAGGCCTCTGAGGAGCGGGGGCATCCCTCCACATGGGCCTGGGGCCTGAGGAGAGTATGAAGAGTGGCTGGGGGCGCGGGTCCCAGGCTGAACCTCAGCCCAGGGCAGGCCGTGGGTAGGAAGCTCTCCGCGGTGGCCGTAGCAGGTCAAAGGCGGCTGGGCCTTTCCCGGTCTGAGGTCCCCAGCCCTCCGCACTCCACCAGCCTGGCTGCACCTGAAATCCACCCATTTGGGACAAGGAGAGTTTTTGAGGGTGCATAAGTCCCAGTGGCCAAGACGTGGGGGTCTGTCGGGCTCTCGGCGCACTCCGCGCAGTTGAAGCCACTTCCTCCGTGAAGGCTTCAGGGCAGAACGCGGGTTCTCTGCCGGGTACTCGGTCGCGCGGTCCGCGCCTCCCCACACACCGGCCGGGGACGCTCCTGCGGCCCTGCGTGCCTTTTCGCACGAAGCCGGCGCCCAGCAAACACCCACCGGCTGAGCCACGAGTTGCTCAGCCAGGCCTTTGTGATCCCACGCCGCCTGGGCCCAGGCCCGGTTCAACAAGTGCGGACCGGGCCGCCCGTTCCCGCCCGGCGGCTTCGCGCCTCCCCAGGAGCCTCGGGCGCGCCGGGTTGGGCCGGCCCCAGTTGGACGAGTTTCGTGTCATCACCCGCGGAGCGTGCCAGCGCCGGTGCAAATAACGTTGCCCCCTCCCTCCCTGCTCCGCTCCCTCCGAAACCCCTGTTTGCAAACGCCGGTACGCCTGGCTGGGAGGTCCCGCTGGAGCCGGGCCCGCTGGGCAGCCAGGGGCAGAGTGCCCGACGCCCGCCCCCCGCCCTGCCCGGCCGCCCCGCCCGGGCCGCGAGGCCACCTCACCCGCAGCGGAATGGAAACCGGTTCGACAGGTAACAAATAGGTGGGTTGTCACCGTTATTTCCCAACGCATGCGCCGTCGCTCCCCAGGCCACTCCAAGCTAATTAGATCAGATCACCGCCCCCCACCCCCCCGCCCCAGCCACCAACACACACCGCCGCGAGCCAATAAAGCGTCAACCCGTCCGTCCGGCTCGCACTTTAAGACTTCTCGAGCGGCCGCGGGGACGCCAGTCGAGCCGGGAGACGCTTACCTGCCGCTTCCCGGTGCACCTGGCCTCAAGGGACCTCGTTTGCAGGGAAGACGGCGACACTCTGCGGAGTTGGAACCGGCGCGCGCCGTCCGGGCTCGGACCTTCCCCGGAACGTAGGGGCGCCTTAGCGACTCCTTCCCTGCTGTGCCCCGTTCCCGGCGTTCAGCCCGGCCCCGCAAAGGTGGGACGGTTCCCGGCTTCAGTTACGGAAGCGGCCCGTGTCCAGCGACGAGGGTTCGAAAATGCCCCGCGCGTTCCTGGTGAAGAAGCCGTGCGTCTCCACGTGCAAGAGGAACTGGAGCGAGCTCCCAGACGAGGAGCGCGGCGAGATCTACGTGCCAGGTGAGGCAGCCGCCCTCCGGCCTGGGACGCCCGCCACGGCGTCGAGGCTGCGGGCGGGCGCAGGTAGGTCCGCGGAGCCGGACGGCAGGCGCGGTGTGGGCTCCGGGGCGGAATGCGGCCGCGGCCCAGGCTGGGTGGGCCCGCGGCTCCCGACCCGGGGCACAGGGGGCGGGGGCGGGGCCGGCGGAAGAGCGCCGGTGGGGGCGGGGGCTGCATGGTGGAAGCGGAGCCGCTCCCAGGGCCTAGGGGGCGCGGAACCGCTTACCCCCACCCCCGAACCGCGGCACAGAGGAGGCAGCGGGGTGTGTCACCGCTGAGAGACCCTCGGCTCCGACGTCGTAAATCCAGAAAACCGGGATTTGCGTGAGGCGGGAGGAGGGCACTGGAGCGATGCCACTTTGGGGGGCGGGGAGCGAGCTGGAGTTTCGGCCGAGATTTGTGTTAAAAGACTCTGAGCTCCAGCCGCTCGCACAGGTCCTTCCTCCTCCCCGACAACACTGGTGGCCGGGTCGGAGTGAGGGTCGAGCCGGTGGGGGGTGTGGGCCCCCAAATTTTCGTGGGGCTCCGGCTCCTGGTCCCGCGCAGTGCGCCGAGACGGTAGGGCAGGCGCCCGCTGCGCCCCTCTTGCCCTTAAAGCAGAGGTGGGATCGGGTCTCATGTCTGCTAGAAACGCACTTCCTTCACCTTGGCGGAGGACACAATTGCATAGAAAGCAGCTGAAGGGAGCCCACCCCACAGCGGGGGGCCAGGCCCGGGGAAGCTGGTGTACCCAGTTATTTTTGGCAAACGCCTAGACAGCGTCGACTGTGAATGAGTAACCCGAGTTGCTTCTTCCTCCAGCGGCATCTTCCCCTGAACGCCCCAAGAACACTCCTATCCCTTCTGTCCTCCCCAACCCCCAACAAAGTCTTTGGTCTGGAGAAAGCCTGCTTCCTTCCGAACGCCCCCTCCCCAGGCCGTGGGGGCGGGGCGGGGACGCTCTGAACGCCCAGCCCGGCCCCTCCGAGGGGGGAGGGGGGAGTAATTAACCAACTGACTTTGACCCTTGATCTGCAGACTCCCTGGCACCGCCCCAGGCCTTGTAGGAAAGTGGGGAAATGAGGGCAGCAGTGAGGGGCCCTGTGAGGGCTCTTGCTCAGTTTCCCTCCTGAATCAGCTGTTGAAGACAGTGTGGTGAGGTCTTTGTGGCCTGTGGTGCTGGCAGGATGTTTCACAGCTTAACCTGATCTCAAGGGGACCCCTGTTTCACAGTTCCTTAAAACAACGGAATGTGCCAGAAGACCCTGATAACCCCATTGGGGAAACTGAGGCAAAAAGGGACGTGAGTGGCCTTCTCACCTGTGGCAGATTAGGGTGTGGGCTCAGGATTCTGTTTATAGCTTCTTGCTTGGCCACCATCCCTGGTGAACTGGCTGGTTCTCTACCTGGGGGTTTGTGGGGGAACGCACAGGGCCGGAGCCCCCTCCCCGCTCGGCCCTCCGCCCTCACCTATGTTTGACTTGCTGCTTAGCTGCTCCTTGGAATCTGATAAACTGAACTTGGACCGTGGTAAAGGTGAGCTGAGCTCTGAGCCAGGCTCAGTGTGCTGTTATTTTTAGTTTTATTTCACATCCCAATCAGTAACAGATCATGTGTTGACTTTTACAAAGAACAAAGACATTCCGTTTGTTGAAATCATTGACTTCTTTGTGTCCTAGCGATTTTCTCCACCACAGTTCTAGTGGCCACAGTGGAAGTGGCAGGGGAGACTTATGCCCCAGGGGCTGTCCCATCAGGTGCAGGGGAGGGCCTCTGGGTGGTCCGGGCCACCGGCTGCCACCGTCCAGGTGAGGGAGACCTGCCGGCTTCTCTGTAGGCTCCTCCAGGATGTGTGGCGGGAGTCCAGTCTCAAGGATGAAGGGAGAATTTGTCCTCATCTCTCTGGCAAGGAGAGAATCCTGTGGGTCAAGTAAAGGGTAGAAGATAGAGAACTTAATTTTACCTCTGAAAGCCACGTGGCCCACTGAAGAGTTTTCCCACAGTTTTTGGCAATGAGAAAGGGAATGTCCGCAGTCCACGCTCGGGTGCCTCAGATGGCTGGAGAGTGGGGGTGTGTTTTGTGCTGGCCTGTCCCCTGGCTGGGCCATTCCATCACCAGCCAACCATGACCCCAGAGCCAGCTGGGCACGTTTCCGTTCGCCTCACAGATTCCTGGGACGTTGTGACCAGCTAAGCGTTGACCCTATTTCCAGTGGAGGGCCCAGGAACGTGGGAGTGTTTGAGTTCTGACCTTGCTGCCAGGTTCCTCTGAGACCCTCAAAGCCTCCCAGAGACCACCTGGAAGGGGAAGGTTTTACTGGCCAGAGGTGCTGGGCCCCAGCCCGACAGCACTGATTCCAGGGCCCGAGTTTGACAATCACATCAGCCTCTCTCCCCCAGGTAGAGTTCTAGAGCTTCTCACTCCCAGGGCAGAATCTTTCCCCTGGGAAGAGGTGAAGACAGCTCCATGCATGCGCCCTGGAGACTTGAAAGGATTACTGGCTGGGAAGCCACCTTGAGCCACCGCCCCCCCCCACAACTGCCCTCCCCTCGCCTTCCTTTGTTATGTCAATATTGACTTGGAGTGACAGCGAGTAATGCCTGGTTCCTTGAGGATAAACCCAGGCACCTGTACCCAGGGGGTAAATTCTACCTCCTGGACTGACCAGGGAAGGGCTCCAGGAACAGGGTTGAAGCTGGTTCTCCCAACCCCCCAGCAGAGCCCCACCCCCTGCTGAGTGAAATCTCCAGGTCAGGAAGGCACCTGAGGACAGACTGGAAGCTGGAGTCAAGGAGCATCCCAGGGCCTCTTCCAGGCTTCCCAGCCTCCCCTCTGTCACTGGGCTGGCCACGGTCTGCTCTGCCACTAGCCTGGTGGACACTCGAGCTCAGGGAGGCCAGCAGGCTGGGCGGTGGGACACTGGAGCTTCCTTCAAGGAATGCGGCCCAGCCTGGCTCTACCGCTAGGTAGTGTGGGCACTTGGGCAGGTCTCTTTCCAGCTGGTCAGGAAGGCTGAGAGTGAGCTTTGGGCCCCGAGGATGCGTCGGGGGTGAGGATGGGGAGAGCTCCAGCCTCCAATGGGATGGTTACCCTGTAGTAGTTCCTTGGCCGTGTTTGGCAGCGCAGGAGATGTTTGCTGTGCTTGCCAGGGAGTGGGGCTGGGAGAGTGGACAGCCACACAGTGGATAGAGACAGAGGAGCAGCATGGGCCTGGGCAGCCAGCTAGCTGAGACTCCTACCTGTCCGCCGGGATCCTGTCACCCAGGCTGCTAGGCTGTCTGTGCTGAGCTTGGGTGTCCTGAGGCAGAAACCTGGCAGAGGATTTGTCCTGGAAAGAACAGGTGAGGGCAAGTCCTTTGGCCGCAGGGAGGATGGCGAGGGAAGCTGGCCATGGGTGAAGTCGGGGCTCCTTTGTATCATCGGCCATTTCAGCAAGTCCTGGATGGAGTCCCACAGGGACACTGGGCCTGTGCCCGGCTGGGTGGGGGCTGCCACAGGAAGCACTGCCCCCACTGTTCTGGGCGGGCACCCTGGCAGGAGGTCCAAGGCACAGTTTTAACTTCTTTGTGGATACCCAGTGAAAAGTGGTTGGGAAAGAGGGAAAATATACTGTCTGAAGGAACTTCTGGAAGTTCACAGTGGGAACAGAAAGAGCAGAGACTGGCCCATGCGTTTCTGGGCTGGCCTGCCTCTGGCTGGTGCTGGGTCCTTTTGGATGATTTGCTAGCTGACCTACAGGGAACAGAGGAGATGGGCACGGGGGCACCAGCCCTTGCTGAAAAGCAGCTGCACTGTGCTGACATGCTGGGCCCCCGTCTCACCTTCAGAACTGGGCTGACACCCATGTTCCGGGGCAGCACCCATGTGGTCAGCGGGGCCCAGGAGGGGGTCATCCTTGCATCTGCTTCATTTGCTCTCTCCAGAGAGCCAGGGACAGGCCTCATGCCCAACATCTGGGCCAACAGCTTTCCATCCAAGACATGGAGGACTTACAGAGGCTAAGGCAGGAGACAGGCCTCGATGGGCAACTGCCCTGGACACGGTTCCTCGGTGTCCGTGCCTCTGCTCTGGGCCTGGCCCTAAACATTGTCCAGGTAGAGGCAAGTTGGGCTAGCAGGAGGGGACCCATAAGCCCCCAGGCAGTAGGAAGAGGGCCAGGCTAGTTTGGCCTTGCCATACTCCACAGCTGTGGGTGGGTGATGAGTGGTCACAGCGCCACCGCCTTGCCGGAAACATCTAATTAGGGACAGAGAGCACCACAAGCAGGGCCCAACCAGTTCTGCTTCCTGCCTCCTGCCACTCAGCGACACTCAGTGCCAGGTGGCACGCCAGTGCGCACTCCCTGTGCGTGTGGCCGCAGGAGGGACATGCTCATGGGGGTGGCAGGGAGACAGGTTTGGCAGGGTGGGTGGGATGAGGCAAACATCCCCACCCTGGCGGCGGGTGGCTGCCCGTCCAGCCTCCTCTGCCCCTCACTCAGGGTGGAGGTGGACCAGAGAGCCAAAGCAGGCAGGCCCACTCTCTCTGGCCCCGGTCTCCCAGCACCAGCTCGGCCAGGTTTGTGTGGAACAGCAGAGGCGGGCAAAGGACACAGGTCTACCTCCCAAATGCATGGATCTCAGGACCCTGACCATGAGCCTTCCCTCTGGTGGAGCAGGACAGCCCAGAGCAGCCACTGTTGTGGGCTCAGCCCGTCCCTCATCTGCTGTCTCCTGCTGTGGTGCGGCTGGGGGACCTCGCTCACACCATCCAGTACTGACAGGCAGAGGAGGGTAGGGGTTCCTGTTTGTCTCCACTTGGATTGAGAAATGGAAAATGTCATCCAGCTTTGAATTCTCAGCCAAGGTCTCCAATAGCTGGTGAGCCTGCATGAGAAGCTCACCATCGCCCCTGCCCACCCCCAGCCAGACAGCTCCTGTGGCAGGGGAACAAGCCGGGGTAGACAGCCAGACCCCGACACTCAGGCTCAGAGAGAGGTGCAATGCCAGCCCAGAGGCCAGGCCTGGGCCAGGCGCTGGTGAATCAACCCTAGGAATGAGGTGGCCCATTAAAGGCCCCCGGACAGACGGACGCCAGTGCCTGCAGGACGGGTTCTGGGCGGCGGCGGGCGCATTCTTCTCTCAGACCTTTGTTGTATTTTGAGGGGGCGAGGGCTGGGGCCTCTCCCGAAACTTCAGCGCTGTCAAACGCACCCTTGCTCCACAACCACGTTCCTCTGCTTCCCCCACGTCCCTGTCCTCTGGGAGAAGAGGTGAGGGCAGCAGCCCTCCTGCCTGGGCCCTTGCCCGTTCTCTGCCTCGCCGACTGCGGGGCGGCAGGGTGCACAGGGCCATGCTCCTGCTTCTGCAATCCCACATCAGCCTCCCTCAGAAGCTCACTCATCCTTTAGGTCATAGGCCCCTGGTGATTTTTCCTTCTGAAGCTTGGAGGATATCCTTAGCTTACGGGTTTCAAGTGCTGAGCTCAGGCTCTTTGGAAGAAAAATATTAAGTTGAAAAATTTGCCCCAGCTCTGTTGGCTTTGAGAATTGTCTCTCTGTGTCCCTCAAGAGTGCTCTCTTTCTGGTCGTCTGTAGTCAGCACTGGGCTTAGGGTCTGAAGCCAAGCCTCCCTGGCCCGCTCGGTGTGAGGTGCCTGCCGTGGGGCGTGGCTGCATCCAAGGGCTGCCAGGTATCGGTGCTGCCGCTGCTGAGGGAGCCCAGCCCGACATGCCCCAGCGAGCGGTCCTGCCGAGGGGGAGGGTTGCATAAGCCTGGGCAGGCCGCCGAGACTGTTAGGCTGCATCCACCTGCAGCTCCCTGACCTCCTCCCTGTTCCACCCACCTGGCCTGTTTCCCCGCAGAGCTGGGACCAGCTGGGAGTGGAGAGCCTGGAGCCCTGAGCTACAACAGCAGGGACCGGCCTGCTGGGGTGGGGGTGGGAGGCAGGGCTAGGACCACCCACACCCCCAAGACCAGCAGCCAAATCTGTCGGAGGAGAGGCCTGGAGCGGCCCAGACCACCGGGGACCATTCTGATGCAGCTCCAAGAGCTGTCCCTGGGCAGAAGGTCTCCACTGGCTCATGTTCAAAGCCAGGGTGCAGGAAGGGGGTTCGGCCACAGAGGGCTCCGGCTCCCAGTGCCCTTTGTCCCTGTAGGAGAGTGGATGAGGCGTGGAATTCAGAGGGACTGGCCCAGGTGGGGCAGGCAGACAACTCCAGAGGGATAATTGGCAGGGCAATTCGGTCCTCCCAGTTCCGCTAAGACACACGTTACTCAGCGGGCAGTGGCGCTTGGCTGGCATCACCTGCAATTACCTTAATAGGGCAGGAGGGCGGTACAGCAGTGGTGGTCGGGGCAGCCCCGCTCTGCCACACGTCTGCGATGGGAGGGACGGAGTCTCCAGGTTCCAGCCGTCTCATGGATAGGGAAGCTTCCAGAAACCCCGCTGGATCCTCTCTTCTCTACCAAGCCCCTCACCTGTCTGTTCTCTCCCCAGTCAGCCTGGGCTTCTGCCCACCACAACCCTACCGGGAGCCGGAGCCCTCTGTGGCCGAACCCCCTTCCTGCCCCCTGGCTTTGAACATGAGCCTTCGAGACTCTAGCTACAGTGTGGCCCCTGGGCCCTGTGTGGTGGCCCAGCTGCCCTCTGAAGACATGGGACCCTTGACAGACCCCCAGAGCAGAGACCATGGCTTCCTGCGCACCAAGATGAAGGTAATGCCACTCACGCTGTCTCTGCGGGCCAGGGGCGTGCGTGTAGACCTGCGTCCAGCTCGTAAGACATGGCACAAATGAGATGTAGGCAGAGACTGACCTGGGACCTGGGCCAAGGTTTCTGCAGAGGAGTCCCGATCTCCGGGCAGATGGCACAGAGCTGTGGCCTCTGGGAGGTGGGCACCACCCTCCTCAGGGGCACTGGGGGCTGGCATCCACGTCTTCCCAATCTGCCAGCCTGTGGCCCCAACTTCTGGAGGTCTGTCAGCAATGCTGTCCTCACCCACAGGTGACCCTTGGGGACAGTCCCAGTGGAGACCTGTTCACCTGCCACATCTGCCAGAAGGCCTTCACCTACCAGCGCATGCTGAACCGCCACATGAAGTGTCACAACGACGTCAAGAGGCACCTCTGCACATACTGCGGGAAGGGCTTCAATGACACTTTCGACCTCAAGAGACACGTCCGAACTCACACTGGTAAGCAGAAGCCCATGGCTGGGAGAAGCACGCCAGATCCGCCTGGCTGCGGCCGTGCGGGAAAAGCCCAGCACCCCCTGCTCTCCCTCGGTGACGGGCAGCCTGGGAGGGCATCCCGGAGCTCAGGGCCCAAGTCCTCCTGAGCTCATCAGTTAGGAGTTTTGATTTGAGAGTCACTCGGGAAATTGGTGTTGGACAGGCCTCCGTCCATCCCTTGGCCCGAGAGGCAGGGGTCCTGTCCTTTCTGTGTCCAGAAGCAGCTGACAGCCTCCCAAGTCCCTGCCAGGTCTCTGATGCGGGCCCCTGTCCTCCCCGCAGGCGTGCGGCCCTACAAGTGCAGCCTGTGTGACAAGGCCTTCACGCAGCGCTGCTCTCTGGAGTCTCACCTCAAGAAGATCCATGGTGTGCAGCAGAAGTACGCGTACAAGGAGCGGCGGGCCAAGCTGTACGTGTGTGAGGAGTGTGGCTGCACATCTGAGAGCCAGGAGGGCCACGTCCTGCACCTGAAGGAGCACCACCCTGACAGCCCACTGCTGCGCAAGACCTCCAAGAAGGTGGCCGTGGCACTACAGAACACTGTCACTTCCCTGCTGCAGGGCAGCCCCCACCTGTGAGTGGCTCGAGCCCTGGGGGTGCTCCCAGAGGCCCTGAGAGGGTCCAGGGTTGCCTCCCAGCTGCCTGGCCAGCCCACCCTCCTGCGACCTCTCACCCGAACACTAGTGATCAGGACTGGAGCCCCCGTGTCTTGGTCTCCCTTCTGGGCACACGTGCTCACTCAGGCCCAGCAATGACCTCTGCTCATTTTTGCATTTTTGACTTAGGGTCTGAGGCTGCTCTGAGCCTGAGAAGATGTGCCTATGTCTGGAGAAGGGATGAGGCCAAGGCTGCCTTCAATTAGAAGCAGCCGCCCGCAGAGATAGGCACTGTGTGCCTGGCAGCAGGACTTCCTACCCAGAGGAAATTCGAGCTAGGATCCCACTGCCCCCGCCTCTCAGCACAGGGCAGGGGCTGCAGGTCCCCAGTGGACAGCAGAGTCAAAAGCACTGGCAAAGGGCACCTCTGCAAACAACCGCGGTGGGGGCTGGCAGCGAACCCCCCACCTGGCAGGGCTTCCTCTAATGCTCAGGGTTCTGGAGGGCTGTCCTTCCGGCAAGGAGAGGCACACATGTGTGCCCAGCCGTGTGTGTGCGTGTGCTTGTGTGTATGCACTGCTCTGTGTGCGCGTGCATGTGCACGCACAGGAAGCCTTTCCACATATCACCTCATTTCTAAGAAATAAACTGCAAGGTGCCAAGAAGGTTTTATTTCCTTATTTTTTTTTTAAAGATGACAAATGTACAGATGTTAATATATTTTTGGTGCCAATGGCGATGTTTTTAAGAGCGGGACGGAGCTGGCTTTTCTCCATTCCCATGCGCTTCTATTTATCCTGGACATTTCAAACCTCCTCTGTGCCTTGGCTCTGGGCAGGGGCTGCCCCAGCCCACCCCCATTCTTTGTACGTGCTGAGACAGTCACTGGAAGATCTTCCTCCAGCGGTGCCCTGGATGGCTGCTCCTGCAAAAAGCACGTGGCATCTTCTGCTGTTCCCTCCAGGCTCTGCCCTGCACATGCTGTCAAGGCAAGCCCCAGTGACCTGGAGAGCTGGCCTGATGCTGAGGGTGTGGCCTTCTGGGGCTTTAAGGGGCAGCAGGTGGGACGAATGACGATGTCCATCCACTACCTGAAGCACTAGGACACTCTTGCAGGGCCAGGCTGGAAGGCCGGCCCTTTTCTTGGTTGAGTCAAAAGCCCTAGCACAGTGGCAAAAAATGGGACAGAATGACGACCAGCACCTCAGAAACTTCCAGAGGGAGGAGAGGATTTGATGGCTATCAAATTGTACCTGTTGCCTTTTTTCTGACTTTTTCACCTGGCCAGGCTGGCGTTTGGAGTGCCTGTGGGGAGAGCCATCCTGGCTGGCTGGCTGGCTGGCTCCCTTGCTGCAGCTGGGAAAGGGATTCTGGGTATAAAGGGGTGTGTGTCTTGTGGGCCAAACGGAAAGACAGGCAGGGGTCAGAGCCAGCCTGCCAGAGGCAAAGGCAAAAGTGGTCCCCAGAACACAGCCAGCGGGGCAGCCCCTTAAAGCCAAACCCCACCCGAAGCAGAACCACTCTGGCCTCCCCTGCCCAAAATGGGTAGTGTCTACACCTCCCTGGGCTCAGGCTCAAGCCCAGCCCTGGGCTGACCTAAGAGGAAAGCGCCTTCCTGGACTGCCCTCTGAAATGTGTATAGATTGATTCTAAAAACTCTTGTTTCACTTGACTTTAGAGTGTCTGGGGAGCTGCCGTATTCTGAAAGTCACATAGCACACAATAATGTTATCTGGAAGCTCTGTTTTTGTTTACATTTCTGTATCCCTGGGTTGACTGCCAATCCGAGGCCGTCATGAAGCTCTGTGTTGTCTGTTTTATTTTATAACCTTCCTCTCAACTATTAAAATTAGAGATCTAATGTTTTCTGTGTTTTGGATGTTTTTGTCTTATGGGTCCCTTTTTCCCCACGCAGAGAAGTAATTGAAACGATTGATGCATTCTTATCCAAACCTTTCCTCGTTTCGGTCACCGGGGGCGCCCTGGTCAAGACAAGAGCCTGGCCCAGATAGCTTAAGTGACCTGCCCAGGGCCTTGGACAGTCACTGCCTGCTGAGTCCTGGTTCAGCATTCACTGCTCTCGGCAGTGGCAGCAGCGGGGTCCCCTGGGCTCCGTCCATCTGCCTCATACCACCCTGCATCCTGACTGGTGGCCTCTGCCAGGCTGAGACCACCAGGCTTTATGTAGTCACCCAGGGATCCAGTCTTGGCCTACCAGGAATGCCCCCCCCAGGGTTAGACCACAGGAGGAGCCACAGTCCCAAAAAGAGGGTGCAAAGCTCACATCACTTGCGGTCAGACACTTAGGGACAGCCACACTCTGTGTCCACACACCTAGGGACGGCCACACCTCTGCCCACGCACCTAGGGACAGCCACACTCTGCATCCAGGCACCTAGGGACAGCCACGCTCTGCATCCACGCACCTAGGAATGGCCACACCTGTGTCCATGCACCTAGGGACGGCCACACCTGTGTCCATGCACCTAGGGACGGCCACACCTGTGTCCATGCACCTAGGGACGGCCACACCTGTGTCCATGCACCAAGGGATGGCCACATCTATGTCCAGGCACCTAGGGACGGCCGCACCTGCACAGCACTTGTGCTGTGCCAGGCACACTCAGAAGTGTGTTATGTGTATTGGCTCACTTGACTCAACTCGCTTCGGAGGCAGGTTCTGTGACCACCCCCACCCTGGTAGAGTGAATTTGGGCAGCTGACACAGTGTCTCACGACTGATCAGCAGTGGAGCTAGGATGCTACCCGCCCGGCCTGGCCCAGGGTCTGCTCAGTAACACTGCTCATGCTATGGATGGAGAAAGCAGGAGGGGACGTAGGGTCCCTCTAGGAAATTCAAACTAGGAGGAAATCTGGAGCTTGCCTGGCTTTCCCTGTCGCTTACCATGATTGCTCTGGGAGACTGATCTCTTTGGGGCCCCTGGTCCCTGAGTCCCAATTTGTGCTTTTCCACCATGGCCTGGCCAGATGGATAAGAAAGCTACAGGTCTGGGACATTGGTCTTTTTCCAGGAGGCGTGAGAAGGGTTGGTACCAGGCGCTGTGAGGTGAGGGAAGACATCCTTTTCCAAGGCTCCCTGTAGTCAGCCCACAGGACTAAAAAGGGCCCTAACCCATCTTCTGTCTCTAAATAGCTGGGCATGAAGGATTTATCTTATCTAGAGAGAACTCTCTGTGAAAGGCCAACTAAATCCCATTTCCTATCCCAAGACATGCAGCCCCGTTGTTGGGAGCCCAGGGGACTGCCCACCACATGAACTTCAGGAGGCAGCACATGCCTCCAGGAAGCCGGGGCAGTGGAGGGGTGGAAGAGGCTCCCTCTGAGCCTCTGCACTTCCTCCCACGCCTCAGATGAGCTCAGGTGGGTGCTGTGCCCTGTGTCACCCAGACGAACTCTTCCCTAGCAGGGCGGGGCCAGTCACATTTCCGGCCCAGAATATTCTCCAGGCTCTGTTGGATGGCGGCTGTGAGGGAAACGAGAAGTGTACAGGGCTCTGCTGACTGGGAAAAAGAGAGGAGATTAACCCAGAACAAATGGTGTGGCCAAACTACAAACACTATGGAACCCAAAAGCAGTCTTTTGCATCAGAAAGAACAAAGGCTTCTTGGAAGAGGTGGGTCTGCAGCTGGGCTGGAAGAGCAGGAGGATGTGAGTAGAACAGAGGAGGAGGTGTTTCAGGGAAGGAAAGTGGGCTCAGACACCAGGGGAGAGGAGTGAAGCCAGGAGCGGGGTGGAAGGCGTCCCTGTTTCCACTAAAGCCGATGCCTCTTCATTCAGCCAGTCACACCGTAGGCATTTTTTGAGTCCTGCCTAGGTGCCAGCGAGAACTGGTAACTATACAAGATTCTGAGACACAGGAGAGCTGGGGGATGTAGCCAGACGGCCTTATCAAGGATGAACGGAGAGTCCTATTTTTATACCTAAAAACAAAACAACCAAGTGCAGGGTGGGAAAAACAACAGTAAGTGCCATTAAGATTTATATTCTGGCCCGGTGCGGTGGCTCAAGCCTGTAATCCCAGCACTTTGGGAGGCCGAGACGGGTGGATCACGAGGTCAGGAGATCGAGACCATCCTGGCGAACATGGTGAAACCCTGTCTCTACTAAAAAATACAAAAAACTAGCCGGGTGAGTTGGCGGGCACCTGTAATCCCAGCTACTCGGGAGGCTGAGGCAGGAGAATGGCGTAAACCCGGGAGGCGGAGCTTGCAGTGAGCTGAGATCCGGCCACTGCACTCCAGCCTGGGCAACAGAGCGAGACTCCGTCTCAAAAAAAAAAAAAAAAAAGATTTATATTCTATCTTGGAATATTTTCCAATATATATATTTTTTGAGATGGAGTTTCGCTCATGTCGCCCAGGCTGGAGTGCAGTGGCGTGATCTCAACTTACTCCAACCTCTGGCTCCCAGGGTTCAAGTTATTCTCCTGTCTCAGCCTCCCGAGTAGCAGGGATTACAGGCACCCACCACCACACCCGGTTAATTTTTTGTATTTTTAGTAGAGAGAGGGTTTCACCATGTTCGCCAGGCTGGTCTCGAACTCCTGACCTCAGGTAATCCACCCATCTTGGCCTCCCAAAGTGCTGGGATTACAGGTGTGAGCCACTGTTCCCCGCTCCATTTTTTTTAATAGTGAATATATATTATTTTTACAATCAGAACAAAAAGTTATAAAACAATTTAGGTTTTTTCAGTGACTTAAAGTTCAACAGGTCAACAGGAAAATGGGGAAGTCCCTTCCCCCACCACCCAAAAAAGAGCTAACGATGGCTGAGAGTGGTGGCTCACAGCTGTAATCCCAAAACTCTCGGAAGCCAAGGCAGGAGGATCGCTTGAGCCCAGGAGTTAGAGGCAAGCCTGGGCAACATAGGGAGCTCCTGTCTCTACAAAAAAAGAAAATTACAATTAGGCGGGGTGTGGTGGCTCATGCCTGTAATCCCAGCACTTTGGGAGGCTGAGGCGGGTGGATCTCCTGAGGTCAGGAGTTCCAGACCAGCCTGGCCAACATGGCAAAACCCTGTCTCTATGAAAAATACAGAAATCTGCCGGGCGTGGTGGCGCATTCCTGTAATCCCAGCTACTCAGGAGGCTGAGGCAGGAGAATCGCTTGAACCTGGAGACAGAGGTTGCAGTGAGCTGAGATCGAGCCACTGCACTCTAGTCAGGGTGACAGAGCAAGACTCTGTCTCCAAAAAAAAAAAAAAAAAAAAAAAAGCTGGGCATGGTAGCATGTTCCTCTAGTCTCAGCTACTCCCAGGGCTAAGGTGGGAAAATCGCTTGAGCCTGGGTGGTCAAGACTGCAGTAAACCGAGATTGCATCACTGCATTCCAGCCTGGGTGACAGAGCGAGACCCTATCTCCCAGAAAAAAAGAAGAGCTAATGTGATTTTGGACAATATCAGAAGTGTGGCACCAACAGCCAAGGCTGCCTCCCTCTGCTTGGTCAGGCACCCATCAGTGGTGCAGGGGAAGAGCAGGGCCTCACATCAGGAGCCTGGTCTGAGCCTAGCCCCTCTGTCACTGTCTGCGCGATCCCGGGCGAGTGACCACCTCTGTTTCCTCATCTATAAAATGAGGTGGGCTCCTAAATCCAAAAGTTCCAGTTCCTCTCTACTCTAAAGGCTCCATAAAAACCTTTTTATTTATTTTTTTTTTTTGAGACAGAGTCTCACTCGCTCTTGTTACCCAGGCTGGAATGCAATGGCACAATCTCGGCTCACTGCAACCTCTGCCTCCCAGGTTCAAGCGATTCTCCTGCCTCAGCCTCCTGAGTAGCTGGGATTATAGGCTCCCGCCACCATGCCCAGCTAATTTTTGTACTTTTAGTAGAGATGGGGTTTTGTTATGTTGGCCAGGGTGGTCTCGAACTCCTGACCTCAGGTGATCTGCCCGCCTTGGCCTCCCAAAGTGCTGGGATTACAGGCATGAGCCACCATGCCGGGCCTCATAAAAACTCTTGAAGGCACTTGCTGGCAAACTGGCAGAGGTGAGAAGGCTAAAGGCTGGGAGGTTGCCCTGCAGGAGGGTCCAAGGGCGGGGAGGCCAAGAGGGCGGTGCAGGCAGTGGGAGACTCTTCCAAGCGCCCCAAGCCCCAGCTGCTGGGAAGGGCTGCAGGGCTGCTGGCCTGGCTGGGGGTCATGTGCTGGGACTCACTAAAGGGACCTAATTCTGGCGCTGCAGGTGGGACACAGCCACAAAATCCTCTACGGTCAAAGTATGCTGGCCGTGACTTCCAGGCCTGCTCATCAGATCCAAGAAGGTAGAGCTGGGGAGAAAACGCTGGTGAGCCGAGTGGGATGGAAAAACAGCTGAGCGGACAGCAAGACCTGCAGCAAGGCGGCTCCCTGAGCTGAACCTGGACTCGCTGTGGGCAGGGGCTCCCCTCTCACCCTCTCACTGTTCTCTGGGTCCACTCCCTCGGGCGATGGCAGCCACCTGACCCAGGATGTCCCACTCTTTTCACAGCCAAAGCTCTCCTCCTGAGCTCTGGAGTCTCTTTGGCTCCTGCTCTCCCACCTTAGGCTCCAGGGCCTGGCTCTTTCAGTCCCTGCAACCAACCCGTCAGCTCCCAGTTCACCACCCTCCCCCAACACCCCAGCTCTCCCCTGCGGAGGTGGCATGGGGACAGCGGGGGCGGCAGGCAGGCTGCATGTGGGGGCTCAGGCACCTCACCCCTGTGGCGCCCATGCTGCGGGTAGGTTGACTCAAGTGTGGAGATTGGGGTCTTGGCAAGGCCGCTCCCTTGTAACTTAGATCTTCCAGGTTCTGTTTCCTGATTGTAAGAGCTGGGTATCAGTGCCTGATTTCCTCCATTCCTCACATTCTGTCTCTCTGTGAAATGATTCCATATAGTCCTACTTTGATCAATCTTTTAAAATAGAGTAAAGGCCAGGCATGGTGGCTCACACCTGTAATCCCAGCCTTTTGGGAGGCCAAGGCGGGCAGATCACGAGGTCAGGAGATCCAGACCATCCTGGCTAACATGGTGAAACTGCGTATCTACTAAAAATACAAAAAAAAATTGGTCGGGCACAGTGGCTCACGCCTGTAATCTCAGCACTTTGGGAGGCCGAGGCGGGCGGATTATGAGGTCAGGAGATTGAGACCATCCTGGCTAACATGGTGAAACCCTGTCTCTACTAAAAAAATACAAAAAAATAGCCAGGCAGCCGGGTGTGGGCGCCCTTAGTCCCAGCTACTCGGGAAGCTGAAAGGCAAGGAAAGGTGTGAAAACCTGGAGGGTCAGGAGCTTGCAGTGAGGCCCCAAGATCTCACCACCTGCACTCCAGCCTGGGCAACCAGAAGCAAGATTTCCGTCTCCAAAAAAACAAAACAAAAAACAAAAAACAATCAAGCCAGGCGTGGGTGGGCCACGTACCGTATCCCCAGCTACTCGGGGAGAGTGAGGTAGGAGAATCACTTGAACCCAGGGAAGCAGAAGGTTGTAGTAAGCCCGAGATCCGGCACACACTTGCACTGCCAGTCTGGCGAACGAGCCAAGCGTCGCGCAAAATAAAAAATTAAATAAACAGAGTAAAAACAAAGAACATTCCATTTAAAATGTGCTCTATATACGCAGTGCCAGTGGCTCACGCTAAGTAAAATCCCAGCACTTTGGGAGGCGGAGGCCGGAAGAGATACACAACAGGGTTCAGACCCCAGCCTGGCCAACATGGTGGAAACCCACACTAACTATTAAAAAACACAAAAATAGACGATGGGTGGCACGCGCCTGTAATCCCAGCCTACTCGGAGGCGCAAGAGAATCGCTTAAACCACAGGAGGCGGTAGGCGCAACAGAAGATTTGTGCCAACCGACACACACAGCAGGGCAAGAGCAGTAGTGAGACTCACAATACTCAAAAAGCGAAAAAAAAGACTCGTGTATAATTTGGCTTTGGGGTGCAGAAGTAGTAGTCTGTAATAATAACCTATCTAATAGACTGCGTGAGCTCTACTGCTAACGCGTAAGGCCAGAAGCCACTGACAAGATACGTCTCTAGTCCCAAACAACCCTAGGAGGTAGCTATTATTGCTGCTATTTTCAGGCAAAAAAAACCTTGAGGCTCAAGGAAAATTAACGATCTTGCTCAAGGTCAAATATGCGTGAGCAAGGATGAAGTCCTGGCTCACACACATGTCTGACTCTAAATTTGTCCTCAAGTCCTTCCATTCAGTCTGTCATTAAGTCTCCAACAACTGCGGTTCACTGCACCCACCACAGCCAGGGCACAGTGCCTCAAAGGTTTTGAGGATGCCTAAAGAATGACCCCTCCCGTCGTTCACCTTCGAGTGGAACCAAACACGGCTCCCAGTCCCAGGCAAGCCGAAAAGGAGGTGAGAAGTGCAGAACTGAGGGGGCAGGTTCCCAGGATGCAGGAGACTTCCACCACACAGACTGCCACCCTCCCCAGCAGGAATCCCTCTAAGCTCTCCGAATGTCACCCATACAAGACAAGTTGAGAAAAGACAAAGGAGGCAAGAAAAATACTAACCTGGGTGGGCACCTACCGTGCCGTCTGGTCTGGCAATACTGCATCATGGCATCTCATTTAATCTTCCAGCAACCCTGAGAGCTGCAACCTGTTACTGTCCACTGTCACTTCTAACAGACCGGGCAGTCAAACCACTAAAGAATTTAAAAAAGCCATGTCAGCCCACCGTTCCCCTGCAGAAGCAGACGCGTCCGGGCACCTGGCCTTTTCTCTAATGAGCATTGCACCTACGTGTCCTTCCAAGAATGCTGTGAAGTAGACAAGGGAAGAGTGGGGCACCCCAAGCCTGACTGCAGGGAAACTAAACCCAAGACCCGGAGGGAGACCACAAGGTGCCCCGGGCTGGCCCCAGCCACACCCTCGCCAGGTTTTTGCTTCTGCTATGGTCTCAGCATAGCTGTCTCTTAAATGGTCCCAGACCTGGAAGGAAGGGTGGAGACGGAAATGCAGAGGTAAGATGCTGGGGGATCCGGAGTTGAGCGAGGACTTCCAAAACCCCAGCAGGAAGCTCTGAAAAGGAACTCCAACGTATCCCCCAGCCATGCCCTAACTCCCCCTGCAGTTTCCAATTTTCCAAAGTAATATCTGGTGGTAAAACCTCATCCTGTCCTCACCCGCCTCGGCCTGCAGGGCTATCCAGCCGGACTCCCTCACATCTATCCCCTTGAGACCTCTAGGCCGGAACAGCCTGAGCGCCCTCCTCCCCAGGCCAGTGAACAGACGAGATCCAGGACTGAAGAGGACTTGCCTCCCCTGGGTCCACCATTGCACAAATGAAGCTGCCAGCGAATAATACAGGCAAGGGCGCGCATCACCAAGCTCAGGCGCCTTGCTAGGCAGGGCCCTGGAGGAGGTTG